ACCCGAGCTAAGCGGCATGCACTGGGCCTATTGCAGCGCTCCTGCTCTGACCGGGTAGGATTGGCTGGGGGCTGGTGAGCCCGACGCAGTTCAAGCCCAGAGAAGGTGATGTGATCGCGCTGCTGACGACAACGCCAAAGAAAGTCAAAGAAATGGTGATAGAAGGGGTCTGATAATGGCAGCGCAGTCGTAAGGTTGATCATGCCCCTGGAAGCGACAAGAGCCGAGTTGTTGTGGCACAGGGCGATGCGTACAGGGATTTAGCACTGGAAGCCAAGCAGCAAGGTGGCGTTAGAACTGTCTGGTCTGGGGCACCAGTGGCCCCCTTGTTGAGGTGCTAGCGAGGTTACCTGCTGAATGCCGACTGCCCATGGTGCCGAGCCGAAGACGCATCACACGGACACGTGTGGCACAAGCACGAGAGATTGGTCGAGAACGAAGAGGAGGACCTGACCAAGAAAGCTGAGCTGCAACGTCGAAGGCTGGGATAAGGTGCTCGTGACCGTTGTCTGGGTGTAGTGTGCTTTGACTTCTTTGAATGTGCATCGTTGTTGCCAACAATACCGTCGATCCAAAAGCCACTTGACAACCCCGCGTCGTTCTCGCGGGGCCTGGACAACCCTGAAGACGGCGCGATGATGGAGGAGAGCGAGTTCGGACAAACCCCGGCGACATGGGAGTGCCTCCGACACAGCCTCGAAGGGGCCAGGTGAAGCAGGACTCCGATGACATGAGGTCAGATCTTTTCGATTGGGCGAAGAGGTGGTTCGACGGTGCGAACGTGGCTCCTGCGTCAAGTGCCAGATGGCTGAAGTGGTGTGTACCTTTCTTGGGCACTATTTTTCAAGGGGGGCAGAATGTAGCACTTGAAAGATAGCTGGCAAGGCTGCACCCAGGACTAAGCTTGCAGGGGATCATCCAGGAGATCTGCGAAGAAGCTTGGAAGCAGTCCGAAAGAAGAAGTAGGTTCATACGGGGACTGACAAGCCTACCATGAAAGGAGAGACACAATATCAGGAGCTGAGAGCTGGCGAATATCCGCGCGATGCTTCGGGCAGTATTAGGTGAGAGTGCTCCCGTCCGACAACCACGCCCTCGCCAACCAGACCCAGAGGGCGACGTGGACCCAGATGTGCATCAGAGTGGCGGCGACGTTGAGAGTGCTGCGAGATGGAGGCCCCTTTTGGAGAAGGCTGCCTCGCCCGGGAAGAGAAGCCCTTGCTACGCTCACGCGAGAGCAGAGGTAGCTGCGCCAGGCCCTTCTAGCTACGACAGCGCAGAGCGGGCTTGGGCTCACTCGGGCAGGTCGGCTGGAGAGAGCGGGCCGCAGGTTCGAGCCAGAAGGGGATCGGTGACCAGCTCGAGTGGGAAGGCGTTCAACGCCTGGCCCACTTTTTTAGTCCGGGCGATAACGCTCGTGATCGTCCCCCATAAGCATAATTGCCCGCATAATTGCCACCGAGCTGCTGGGAATGGCGTGCGTACTGGGTTTCCTGGTACAGGCGCTGAGGACACCCGCATAATTGCCCAAAGGAGGCGGGCAGATCCCGAGGAAGCCCTACACGCGGCGAACACCTCGGAGTCAGAGCCGCCAAGTTTTCCCTAGGCTCCTGAGGAAGCCCCCGCAGTGGGGAACTCCTCAAGGGCTAGTGCGTCGAAGAAAGGCTCCCCCGAGCGAGGGCTCGGACGTTCCGCAGTGTCTCGGAGGATTGGATGCATCGTCTAGCCAAGCACCCATATGGGCGATTTCGGAAACCCTGAACGCGGAAACGTGCTCATCTCTTGGAGGCATTTTTACCTCCGCCGCCTTCAGCCAGCCTTCCGCCGGCTTACGCTGTCGGAAGCGGCCTCGTGTTACTTCCGCCGACCTTCCGCCACCCTTCCGCCGCCTTCCGCGGCGGAAGAGATGTCAAGTCCTTCGATCCTCGAAGGCAAGGCCTTTTTGGGAACGCGTCATATCACATCGAGGGATTGCCATTCAGGTTGAAGCGGCCAAGCAAGATAGCGTGGATCCCCCTCCGATCGCTAGCGAGCCCCTCCCAGAAGCGACAAGTGCGAGACCGCCAGGCGCTGGGGGCAACATCTTAATTGCCTACATGGCTGTGGTAGCATGGCCAGTGACCAATGCGGCACAATCGGTCTGTCGACCGAGGGAAGAGCCCTGCACCTACTCCAGCTCAGTACTTCATGATTGTGGAACTTCTGCCTCTTGATGTAGCTAATGCGTCGTGACTGCGGCGGGCAAGATCGTCCAGCATACTGTGGCAACATGAAGTGCCTACTTGGCGCAATGGGTCAGGCGCTGCGGGCACCCGCATAAGTGCCCAGCCTGGCGAGGACCACGACCTGCACACAGAAGGGGCTCAGGCGCGGCCTGCGAGAAGGCGAAGGAAGACCTGAAGGGGGAACCATGTCTACGCAGATGGGGCGGCGTGTCTCACTCTGGGTTCACCGAGTGCAGGAGCAGTGGATGGGCTGTCGTGAAGTTGGACGCGCGAGGATGCCGTGCCGAGCGAGGTACGTAAGAATACCTAGGCGCAACCAGTCGGCCCCGTCTGCAGAGAGATGCGCTACGGTCCAAGCGCTCAGGTGGCGGCTGCGCCAGCGGCAGCCGTTACGGACCACATGTCGCCAGTGAACGAGGCCAACAGGGACTGGGGGGGCAACGCGGGGCCCAAAGCAACGGGTTCAGGGCTGTGGAGACAGATCATCGAGCTGTGCGGCGAGGAGCCGAAGCCTGTCTCGTGTTGGTAAGGGTCTCGTCTGTCGTTCGATGAAGCGGTCGAAAAAGAAGGGTGTGAGTTGGTGGATTGGTTTGGCAGTCAGTGGGCAGATTTCTTCGCGGGGCTGGGCCGCGCTGACGTCACGATTGCCGACGGGTCTGTGCGAGACTGTCAGGTCCAGCTCCCGAATGCGGTCGACTCGGCGGCGATGCGGGGACAAACAGCTCAACGACACGCGGCGTGGGCCCAGAAATCTGAGCTGCCCCGTGCGTCGAGGCCGAGCGTGGCAGAGGCACAGGCTGCCGAACCGGGAACACCACGATTTTGGCACGGCCCCGACCCCCGAGATGCTGAAGATCCGACGACGGAGCTGCAAGTCGGCTGCACGCGCTGACCAGGCGCTCCGCAGCGAGCCGACGGCGCTGAGGAGCTGGTCCGCGGACCGTCTCTTTCGGGACCATCCTGGGTTCGCACCTGCTAGTGTGCGGCAGGCGGTGGCAAAGGATGAGAGTAATTACGCCGACGGTGCCAGCTGCGATCAAACAGTTGCGTGGTTGTTGACACGTGTTTGGCCATGTCACGATCTGCAAATTGGCGGCGGCAGTGTGTGTGGCCCCAGAGAAGAGTGCTGATTCAAACATTAGAGCGGCCCAGAAAGCTGCAATCAAGTTGGCCATGGACCAGGGGCACCCGAAGACATGAGGTTTCTTCGGGGCTAACGCCGTGGCTTAAGGATAGCAAGTGTTCGTGAGATTGCTGGTATGGTCCCGCTCGTCGGGTAGCCAACGCCTTCTTTTTTCTACAGCTGGCAAGGCCTCGCTCTTCGGGTTGTCGCCGGCGCTTGGTGTGGTCCTGGTCTACGGGTCACCAGGCCACCTGAGGAGTACAGTGGGGGCCCGTCCACAAGAAACCTTCCACAAGAAACCCAACCCAGAGACCCCAGGACGTCCATCGATTCTTGGTGTGGAAACATCGCGCTCCCCGTAGCAAAACCATCGAAATCCAGGAAACCCAGGGCACCCTGGAGGCGAGCGGGCTGTCTTGGTATGGGCCCCCACTGTGCTGCTGGTCTGGCCCCGCTCCTCGGGGTGCCAGCGCCTTGTGTGGCTCCGCTCTGCGGGGCGCCAGGCTCGATGATGAGCATGTTGGCGGCGCGCAGAAGGGGGGCAGGGGGAGGGGGGACGGCTTCTTGGAAGGGGGCCGCTACTTCGAAGGCGCCGGCCGTACATCTACAGATGAGGCCTGCGCCTTCTGAGAAGCAGGGGTGCTTCCGAGAAGCCCTCCCCCCTCCACCCCCCGCCCCCCTCGGCGCCTGGCTGAGCCTGGCGATAGCACCGCTCCTCGGGGTGCCCGCGCCTGGCGCTCTGCGGGCCTCCGAGCACGACGAGGCGGGCCGAGGCTTGCCACGGCCACGGCCGCGCACAGCGACCGCCGCCACGCGGCTGCCCGGAGGCCCCCGTGCGGCGAGCGGAGCTGGCGTTGTTGGCTGGCTCCCCCTCGGTGGCGCGCTCTCCTGCCTGTGGCAGTGAAGGTGGAGTCGACCCGTCACACTCACCTTCCCCCTCCTCCCCCTCCTCCTCCTCCTCCTCCTCCTCCTCCTCCTCCTCCTCCTCCTTCTCCTCCTCCTCCTCCTCCTCCTCCTCCTCCTCCTGCTCCTCCTCCTCCTCCTGCCTGTGGTAAAGGTGGTGGAGAGTCGGCCCGTCACCCTCGCCTTCCCCCCTTCCCCAGGCCCGCCGCGGACACAAGTCGCACGACCCCAGCAACTCAGTGTCGTGGCTCCCGGGCCCGACCTCGGCGCCGAGGGCCGAGCAGCTGTGCGCCGTACCGCCCCTGAGCCCGGTCTGAAGACCGACGACGCCTCGGCAAACGCCAACGCAGCACGGTGCACACAAATCGTCCGCGGACCCGGCTCTCCAGCGGCCGTTTGGACGGTTCGGGCACCCCCAGAACGCTCTCGGCGAGTCGCAGGTTCTGGAAAGCCTTGGGAAACCGCCGAGAGCCGACGAAAACGCCCGAAAACCTGCAGCATAAATCCTCGAGCCTCGACCAACCGGCGATGCATCGCCGATTCCAACTCGATATTTCCTCCCCTGAGCCGGACCCTCCTCCCAAAAACCGCCACAACGGTCGCTGGCACGGCGTACACCAGCCGTCGCGGACCCAGCGTGCTCCACCGCCGTCGTCGTCGTCGTCGTCGTCGATGATGCTCCTCGTCGTCGTCGTCGCCGTTGATCGTTGTCGCCGTGAGTTGCAGCCGTCGACGACTCACGGTTGCTCCTTGATTACTTTCTCGTTGAACGGCGGCAGCCACCTCGCTCTCTGCAGGTCGCGCAGCAGCTGCGCGGACTTCTTCGCGTGCAGCACCATCGCCGCCCCCCGTGAGCGGCCCGCCGCTCTGGGGGCCTCCCAGAACTGGGGCCCGAGCAGGTGGTCCAGGGCATCCCTGGGATATCCCTGGCCCACGTCACCCCCAGGATTTTCCTGGCCCAAGCGGGCGACGATCGAAAACGGGTCTTACGCAAGATGACGCAGTGACCTTACGCGGTGGCTTACGCGGGCCACCAGCGCGGCACGCCACACTTACGCGGGGTACGTACTCGCCAGTGTCGGCGCAGTTTGACCCGTTGTTTTTCGTCGCGCAAGTGTCGCCAGAAGTATCCCTGGCCCAAGTGCTGCCAGAAGTTTGGCGGCGAGCCCGCTGGGGAAGTGAGAGGGGGCAGGCCTTCTCAGAAAGCGGCGGGGCGTCCCCGAAGCCCTCGCGCCCTTCTGAGAAACTGTCTGAGCCTCCTCCAAAGGCACTAAACATTCTCAGAAGGCCAGAGGGCTTCTCAGAAGCTCCGCCGCCTTTTGAGAAGGCATGCCCCGTCCCACTTCCCCCCGGGGCGCGCCGCCGAAGAGTGCCGCTGGCCCAGGGCACCCCAGGAGTTCCAAGGACGTCCCCCGCGGCTTCCAGAGCACCCCTCGAAAGTCCCAGAGGGTCTCAGGGGCCTCCAGAACTGAGCGAGAGGCCGGGGACAACATGGGCCAGGGACACCTTCCGCAACCCCCGCGGAGGAGCCGGCGCCGCACCGCCGATGCGCCGGCGACGTCGGAGAAGGAAGTGCGGGCACCGTCAGCTCTTGCTCCAGTCTGGGGAGGCCTGGAGCTCACACTGAGTATCGTTTATCCGATCCCAATCCCCAGCGGCGTGGCCTGGGCCCCACTGGCCGATTTGCCCCCCCAGATGGGGATGTAGGCCGTTCCCTTCGGGATTCGAGGCGTGTATCTCCAACTGGGGGGGTAATTTGGTGGGGGTCTCGAAGGGGATGGGGATGGAGATGGGGACCGGATGAACGATACTGACACACAGCCAAGAGATCGCTGCTCCGCAGGCCCCAAGCGGCTTGAGCCACACGTGGCTACCGGGGCGCCTCCATGAGGCTGCTCGGCGGGCCCACCTGGACCACCGCCGCCACTCCCAAGACGCCCCGTCCGATGACAGCCTGGCCCGCGGGTGCGCGCAGGGGCGAGGCGGCGCAACTGCTTCTAGAGTCATCGTGCCAGCACGAGGGGAAAGCAAACCATGGGAAGAATTGTTCTTTTTGGTCACGACGACGAAGTCTTTCCCCGACCTAGATTTCGGGAACGGCCCGACAGCCAGAGCTCCCGCTGAGCCCAGTACGCTCGTGTCGCGGATGCCATGACAGTAGACACTCTCACAATCCGATCATTGAAATTGAAATGTATTAAAATATTTGGAAATGCTTTGGACCTGGTGTAACACATGCTATTGCATGCTGAACATATGTTGTGCACAGGTTTAAGACATCTCGAAGCTATGTGGCAACATGTTTCCTCTCCATTGGTCGTCGTCCACAGCGCTCGTAACTGGGGTCGGGGGGGTCAAAGGGGGGCGGGGGGGCAGCGAAGATCAAGGAACCAGCCCTGTCAGCAGCGTGGCCCGCTGAGGGCAGGACCCCGGCAGTGCACTCAGCAGTCGAGCTCGGCCGCTGCAGCCCATGCGACAACACCCTCCTGGTGTTGGCGCTATTGCTTGCGATCTGCCAGCGCACGTCACTCGCCCGAGCCTTCGCCATTGCAGAAAAACGAGTGGTGGAATCTTCGAGCCGCCTCCACCTACGCGAAGACGGCTCTCTGAGACGCATTGTTCCGAGCTCTTACGCGGCAGCTTGCCGCTCAACGTCACGGAAGCCCGTACGCGCCGGACGGGAAAACTATGTAGAAACATGACGCAGGGAGGCGGACGATTTGGATTGGGATCGGGCCCACCCAGAGAAGAACCAACAACAACAGAGGGAGATCGACCATTGTAGTGAGAAGGCGCTCGAAGTAGATTGGGATCAGGGCATGCAGAAACACCTATGAGAGAGAGCGCGCCCGTGGCGCCTTCCCAAAAGCCCCCCCCCTTGGATCTCCCTTGCGTGCCGGAAGGCCCCCGCCCCTCTCCTGTTCTGTCCGCCCCTCGGAGGCTACCCCCCCCCCTTCCCTTTCGCGCTCGAGAAGCCACCGTCCCCCCTCCCTTTTCCAGGGGGGGGCTTGGCTACCCCTCCCCCCCTTTGAACCCCCAGCCTTGAAAGCCCGCCCCCTCTCCCCTCCTGTTTTGTCCGCCCCCCGGAGGCTACCCCCCCTTTCCCTTTCGCGCTCGAGAAGCTACCCCCCCCCCTCCTTGTCCAAAAAGGAGGGGTCAGCTACCCCCCCCTTTGGACCTCCCCTGCCGGAAGCCCCCCCATCCCCTCCCTCTTTGCATTTTTCCCACCCTTTGCAAGCTACCCTCCACCCCTTTCGAGCTCTGGAAGCCACCCTCCCCCCTCCCTTTCCAGAGGGGGGGGGGGGCTTAGCTACCCCTCCCCCCCTTTGAACCCCCGGCCTTGGAAGCCCGCCCACTCTCCCCTCCTTCTGTGCTAAGGGGGGAGCTTGAAGCACCCCCCCCTGTGGCTAAAGGAAGCCGAAGACCAAAAGAGCGCCGAAAACGAGCAGAGCGCCGAGAACACCGAAAACCGAGAAGGCGCGAAAACCAGAGGGCGCCGAAAACCCACGAAACGCCGAAAACCAAAATAGCACCGAAAACCAGAACGGCGCCGAAAACCAAAGATGCGTCGGAAACCAAAGACGCACCGAAACCCACAGGAGCGTCGAAAGTCAAAGTAGAGCCAAAAACAAAAAGAGCGCCGACAACCAAAATGGAGTCGAAAACCAGAAACGAGCGCCGAAAACCAAAAGAGCACCGAGAAGCAAAGGGGCGCCGGAAATCAACAGGCGCCGAACACCGAACGAACGCCGATAACCAAAGCGGCGCCGAAAACAAAGAACAAAAAAAACTCCGAAAACCAGCAGGGCGCCAAAAACCAAAGACGCCGAAAACTAAAAGAGCAACGAAAACCACAGCAGCGCCGAACACAAAAATATAGCCAAAAACCCAAGAGCGCCGAAAATCAAGAGGGCGCCGAAAACTAAAGGGTCGCCGAACTTGAAAAGGACGCCGACAAGCAAAGGGGCGCCGAGAACCAACAGGGAGCAAATAACTAAAGGGTCGCCAAACACAAAAATGGCACCGAAAACCATAACGGCGCCGACAACCACAGTGGCGCCGAAAACCAAAAGGGCACCGAAGACCAAAACGGCGCCGAACAACTAAAGGAGCGCCGAAAACCAAAGGGGCGCCTAAAACCACAAAGGCGCTACGCCAAAAACAGAAAAGCAGAGGGAAGGCGAAGACCAACGAAACATCGAGTATAAAACAGCGCACCGCAAACCAAAGATGCGCCGGAAACCATCGGGACACCGAAAACAAAAAGGACACCGAAAACCAAAGAGGCACGGAAAGCAAGCGGGCGCCGAAAACCAAAAAGAAATGCCGAATACCAGATGGCCCACGAAAAAAAAAGAAACGCCGAAAACCCACGAAGCGCAGGAAACCAACGATGCGCCGAAAACCAAAAGGGCGCTGAAAAAAACAAATTGGCGCCGATAAAAAATAGGGCGCCGAAAACGACAGAGGCGCCGAAAAGAACAAAAGATCCGAAAACGGGCAGAGCGCCGAAAACAAGAAGGGCGCCGAAGACAACAGGGGGGCGAAACACCGGAAGAATGCCGCAGACCAAAAGGGCGCCGAACACCAAAGAGGCGCCGACGCCAAAGGGACACCGAAAACCAACGACGCGCCGAAAGCCACAGGCCCGGAAAAACCGCAGATGCGCCGATCACCAAAAGGGCGCAGTAGGAAGAAGAAGAAGAGAAAAAAAAAAAAAAAAAAAAAAAAAAAAAAAAAAAAAAAAAAAAAACGAGAGGCGCGCAGATAACCGGAAGGCGCCCCAAACCGAAGGAGAGCCGAAAGCCAAGGGGCTCCGAACGCCATGACGCCGCCGAAATCCGAAGGTTCTCCGAAATTCAAAGTGATCCTAAACCAAGAGGGCGCCGAAAACCACAGGGGCGCCGAAACCCGAGAGGGCGCCGGAAACCAGCGACGCGCCGAAAACCAACCGGAGCGCGCAAGAAACAAAAAAAAGCGTCGAAAATAAAAGGAGCGCAGAAAAACACATGAGCGACGAAAACAAACGCCGAAAACAAAACGGGCGCCAAAATCCAGAGAAGCGCCGAAGGCCCAGAGAGCGCCGAAAACCGAAGAGGCGCCGAAAACCAAAGAGACGCCGAAAACCGCCGCAAACCAACGGAGCGCCGAACCCCCCCCCCAAAAAAAAAGCTTCGAAACCCCCATCAGCCAGGGCCCTCCAGCTCGAAAAAACCAACAGAAAAGGGGGGTAGCTTCGGACGCCCCCATTGGAAAAGGAAGACCGGGCTTGCCCGGGACCCCGAGGAGGAGGGAGGGCGGCCTCCAGGCCACGCCCACTCTAGCCAGGGACCCTCCAACCACGAAATCCAAGCAGGAGGAAAAGGGGCGACTTCGGAAGCCCCCCGCCACCGTCCCCGCGGTGAAATGGAAGCCCAGGCTGGCCACGGGCTCCGAAAAGAAAAAGGGGGGCAGCTCCCATAACCCACGCACACGCACACAGCCAGCCCCCCCCCCAGCGGAAGAAAAAAAAAAAAAAAAAAAAAAAAAAAAAAAAAAAACGGGAAGGAAGGGGGGGGGGGGGGGGCGCGCGCCCTGGAAGCCCCCCGCCTTTTTTCCGGGGGGGGGGCTCGAAGCCGGGGCCGCCCCCGCAACGTTGCAACGAAAAGCGCGCCGCAAGCGCGCTCTGCCGCGCCTATTTCCAACGGCGCGCGAGCAACACGACGCCTGTTCTTGGGGGAAGCCGGGCGCGGCAGCGCCGCGAGGGGCAGATGGGGGGGCGAAGAATGACTTGGCGCTGGGGGGAAAGGAGGAAGACGATAATGGCCAGCAGCTGCCACGACCGCCTGCAAACCCGCCCCGCGCAGACCACGGGCCTCGCCAGGAAGTCAGAGAGCATCGCCGACCACAGCGGGCGGAACGCGTCGGAGCCGGCGGCGGCGCGGCGCTTGAAGCTCCTGCTGGCTTCCCTGATGGCCTCAACCGCGGGCTCGCTCAGCTCGCGGCACTTCGCGTCGCCCAGCCCCTTCGACGCCAGAGGCCCGTCCACGTTCCAGAACTGCTCGAGCCAACCCTCGCGGGACTTGCCGGCCGCGCCTAGGGCGTCGGCGACGACCCCGCCCTGCATAACTCCTCGGCCCGCTCCCGATGGGCCTCTGGCCCACGCGCGCGCGGGGGCCGCGCCGCCCAGCGTGGCCTTCTTCGCCCGAGCATCGAATGATCTGCGCCGCTGCTTCTCGAAGTCTCGCGTGACCCCCCTGCCGACGAGCCCCGCCCGCTCGGCCATCTCCTCGAGGACGTCAGGGCCCGGGGCGCGGCGACGGGGCCAGCGCCGCTCGAAGCAGCCCCGGGCGACGGGCTCTCTGAAGGACCCCACGCACACACACACACACACACACACACACACACACACACACACACACACACACACACACACACACACACACACACACACACACACACACACACACACACACACACACGCACACACTTCTCCAGGGAGCCGCAGAGCGCGTTCGCCGCCGCGCGGCGGCGCCCCGCCCCCCCAAGATGGCCCCCCGCAGTTCGCGCAAGCGGCCGCCAAGCCGGAGCGCCAGCCCTGCCTCGGGGGGGCCTCGGCCACTGCCTTGCTGCTCTTCCTGAGCGGGTTCACCTCGATGAACTGCAGCTCGCTCCCACGCCCCGCTTAATTATGCGCTTCCTGTGGCTCGATGTGCATGTGCAACGCGCAGGCCAGCTCCTCCTCGGCGCTCTTCATGTAGTCGGCGCAGCCTCGAGCTAGCGCCTCTTCGTTGACCTCTGCGCCGCGCATGGCGGCGCGCGCCTCTGGCCAGCTCGCGCGGCCCCCCGCCCAGGCCCACTCGGCCGCTCGGCGCGGAGGCTCCTCGGGCCACGGTTGACCGCGATCACGCTGTCGACTGCGCCGCTCGCGAGTTCGAGGCCCACGGGGCGGCGGCTCCTGATCGCAACGGCGTAGATGACGTAGCAGCTCGTCACCGTCGGCATGAGGACCCTCGGAAGCGCCCAGTAAACAAGCAGGGCCCCCTCCGCCAGGTGGCCGTAGGTCGCCGCCTTGGGGGCGACGGGCTCTGCCCCCAGCGAAATGAAGACCCCCGACTTTGCCTGCGCTGCCGAGCGCAAGTTGAAGTCGCCGCCGACGAGAAATGAGCGCTCCAGCCTCTACAGCCCCCACGCCCTCGCCGCGGCGCGGGTAGTCGCCGCCAGCGGCGACCCCCCCTGGCAACCATCCTTTCCAGCGTCTGAACAACGCGCAGCCCGTGGAGACAGCGAGCCTGGAGCCGGCGCGCCAGTAGCGCGCTAGCCCTCGCCATGGCTGCATCGCCGCGCAAGGGCCCCCGCAGGCGCCTCCTTCCCCAGTGGAGACCGCGGGGTCGAGGTTCAACTGCGAGCAGGCCCGCTTGGCTCAATTCTCCTGGGCGACGCAGTCCGCGCCGCCTGTCGCGCGGGCATCCTGCCCCGAGAACAGGTCGGCCCGACGGGCGATCGGGCCCAGGAGGAAGACCAGTAGGCTCGTCCACGTGGCGCCATTCGCAACGATAGCCAGCGCGCGCGTAGGCTTCCACCTCTGTCTGCATCCTTCGCGGCGCCCCTCCGCCGGGGCGGTCGAGCGGCTGCCCCCGGCTCGGGGACAGAGCGCATAGGTGCTGGGCGAGCTGCCCCCCGCCCCCCTGCCCGACCAACTCGCCGCTTCGCGAGTGCTCTGCCCGCCTCGCCCGTCGACGGTCTCCTCCGCCTCGGCCCCGCGACTCGCGGCGAGCAATGCGCGCCCCGCGGGGTCGACGCCCCCTGCCGCAGACCACTTGCCCAAGCGATCTCGGCCTTGGGCGGCGCCCGCCCGCCAGCCCAGTCGGGCGAGAAAGGATCTCCAGCATCGCAGGTTGGATCGGCAGCGGCGCGGTCAAAATTCTTCTGCAGCCCGTCGCCATCGATGGCGAGAACGGCGCTGCTGCGGCTGGCGCCGGGAGATGCGCGGCCACATCTGCCCCCGCCCCCCACTGCCAGCTGGCCGATCCTCTTCGGGCACTCGACGACCTTCTCAGTCGCCTCGACGATCGCGACCACGATGGCGGCGAGCCTCTGCTTGGCCAACGGCGCCACGCCCCGATCTGTCACCACCAGCACGGCTCGAACCTCGCGCTCGTGGTCCCGGGAGACGTCGCGGCCAAGCTTGGCAGCGCCTGGGCGGCGCCATGGCCGAGCGCCAGCCAAGGGGGCGAAACCCTCGGCACCTGACCGCAGCTGCAGCTCGACAGGCACGGCCCCCGACTCGTCGATGCCCAGCCCGACGCAGTCGAAGGGGCCGAGCTCGCCGTCCACGGCGGGACCGAGGCCGTCAGGGGCTGCTGCGCCTCGCGCCTCGGCTGCGGATGCTCCGCAGGGAGCGACGATGCCGTTGGAGGTGGTCATCTGCGTGGCCAGCGTCGCCTCGACCCGATCCTGGACCCCAATCTCGTCGCGCATCTCGCACTCGCGGCCCCCCGCTCCTGCGCGCGCGCCCTGACCTGGGCGAGCTCCTTCTCGCTCTGCTCGAGTCGCTGAAGGGCGTCCCCCCAGCGCCTGCTAGGCCCCGGCGGCCTTGGACCGCATCTCCGCCACCTTCTCGGTCTGCTTCGACACGACGGCCTCCGTCCGCTTGACGTCCCGCCTGGCGATCTGCAGCTTGGTGTCCATGGGCGTCGCGTCGTGGATCTTCTCCCGCAACACGTCGAGCTCGGACTGGAAGGAGTCAACCGTGGCGTCGTAGTCGGCCGCGCCAGCGGCGCGTGCCTTGAGCACCTTGATCCCGTTGGCCAGCCAGTCGGCGCGCTTGCGCCCCGCGGTCCCGACGGTGGTGCCGGACTCGGCCGAGGAGCTGTCGACATCCATATCCCCCTCCCTGGCCTGGGCCTCAAGCTGCTCGCTCTCGGCCTTGAGCATGTTGAACTCCTCGGCGGGTCCCTTATTGGATTCGTCCTGCAGCTGCTTGCCCTTCGCATAGCCCTCGGCCACGCTTGGAGACCGCCCAAGGGGCCGCCGCTGCGCCGATGTCCGCCGAACGAGACGCTCTTATGGAGCTTGCACTTCGCACGTTCGTCGGAAGTGTCTGGGTTTCACCAGCGACCCATCTCATTCTTGCAGTCCCTGCAGCAAAACCAAATTGCCTTGTCGCGTCCGCTGCCGACCGTGCTTTGCTTAGGCCTGCCACCACCGCCTGGCGACCATGAGTACTGCCAACTTTCCGTCATGCCGTCGAGCCCGTGAGCGCTGCCGCAGTAATCAATACGACTAGGCCGAGGGTGCTCCCCCAGGACCTCATGGGAAAACTTGGAAGCTGGCCGCGGGCGAGCGGCACCCTTCCGGCCTGGAGGCCTGCAACCCCCCAAGCTGAACATCTTGATCCAAAACGGCAACGGAGGGGTAGGAGAAGGAGGAGGAGGAGAAGGAGGAGGAGGGGGAGGAGGACGGGGAGGGAGAAGAGGAGGACGAGGAGGAGGAGGAGCAGGAGGAGGAGGAGAAAGACGAGGAGGAGCGAGGAGGAGGAGGAGGCGGAGGAGGAGGAGCGAGGAGGAGGAGAGGAGAGATGAGAGCAGGCGCGGCGGGAGGATGAGGAGGAACGCAAGGAGGGGAAAGCGGGAGCAGGGTGGGAAGAATCAACGGCACGAGGAGGACGAAGACAAAGACGGAGACAAGAACACGCTGTAGTTTGACGAGGGAGCGCGCTGATGATTTATGGAAGCAGGACCAATAGCTAATGCACGCGCCTTGATCCATGTTTACGCTTTCTCGAATCAACGTCCCAACAACCTCGGCGAAGCCAGGCAGGAGACGGGAGGACTGCAAAGGTCCCCCAAAGCCCCCGGAGGCCACTCCGCAGGCCTTCTAAGCAGTGGTGCTTCTAAGAAGCCTTCCCCCCTCCCCCTACCCCCCTCAATCTGCGCGTGGCCGATATCGATACTCCCTCCTCGAGGCCTCCCAGGTGGGGTCGGGGTAGATGGGGTCGAAGCGCCGCATCGCCGATGCATCGGCGATGCATCGGCGACGTCGGCGATGCACCGGCGACGCCAGCGCGGAGAGAATCGGGCTCGGCATCGAGCCGCATCGCCGATGCATCGGCGATGCGGCGCGATCCTCCGACCCGATCTACTCGGACCCTCTTAGGAGGCCTACAGTGGGGGCCCGACCACAAGAAACCTGCCACAAGAAACCCAACCCTGAGACCCCAGAACGTCCATCGATTTGGGTGTGGGAACGTCACGATTTCCATGGCAACACCGTCGACACCCAAGAAACTCAGGGCAACCTGGAGGCAAGCAGGGGGGTTCTCGGCATGGGCCTCCACTGTAACCCAGACCCCCGACGTCATGATTTGTTCATGACGTCGACCCCAGAAATCTCGACCCATTTCCCAGAACCGGCTGCCCAACCTGAGAATCGCTTTGTGACGATCCCGAGGCCCTGGAAGGGCTGCGGGGCAACGATAAGGGGGGATAGGGATAGGGGGCTCAGGCATCGACCTGGACTCGGCGATACATGGCCGGAAGATCGGTGGTAGGCCCCCAGCCTCGCCCCCCGACGAACCAGACCTGATCCAACCAGACTGGTCACCGACGCAGGGGCGGGCCCCGGGCGCGGCGCCTCCGCACGCCGCCGCCGCCGCCGCGCGGGGGAACATTGCCCGCGGCCCGGGGGCCGCCGCCGCCGCCCCAGCGCGGCCCGCTGCGGGCAGGGCTCTGCGGCCAGGGGCACGGCTGTGCGGCCAGCCTAGCCTTCTTTTTTGGGGGGGGGCTTTGCGGTGAGGTCTGGTGCGCCCCCTGACATCCTTCAGCTCAGCGATCTGGCCCCTGAGCGTCTCCATGGCGACTGGGGAGGCGAGGGTCACTGGCATGATGGGTTTCGGAATGTCAGGACACCGAAATCCATCAGTTCAGTAATCCTCGCCTCTCCAGTCGCCATGGAGATACTCAGGGGCCAGATCGCTGAACCGAAGGATCTCAGGGGGCGTATCTGAGCACCCCGACCGTGACGCACTTTTTCGGGCCCGCTGAGCACCAGCGGGCACGAGGCCAGTGCACATAACTATCGGTCGGCCTCGGAGGGGCGCTCCGGAAGCGAATTGAGGCACGGAAGGCGCGTGAAGGCTCCTCCCTCCTCCCCCTCCTCCTCCTCCTCCTCCTCCACCTCCGCCTCCGCCTCCGCCTCCGCCTCCGCCTCCGCCTCCTCCTCCTCCTCCTCCTCCTCCTCCTCCTCCCTCCTCCTCCTCCTCCTCCTCCTCCTCCTCCCTCCTCCTCCTCCTCCTCCTCCTCCTCCTCCTCCCCCCTCCTCCCCCTCCTCCTCCTCCTCCTCCACCTCCTCCACCTCCTCACTCCTCCTCCGCTCCTCCTCCTCCTCCTCCTCCTCCTCCTCCTCCTCCTCCTCCTCCTCCTCCTCCTCCGCCTCATCCTCCTCCCACTCCTCCTACTCCTCCTCCTCCTCCTCCTCCTCCTCCTCCTCCTCCTCCTCCTCCTCCTCCTCCTCCTCCGCAGGGAGGAGGGGCGGAACAGGAAAGAAGGCCGATCAAAACATGCAATTCTGCACGGGGGTGACGTCTGGGCATTCCGACCGTGACACACACGGTTGGGGTAACGTCCAGTCGGCCAGGGCTACAGCTGGACCAGGGATGGAAAAACATCCTTCAAGAACATGAGACCCCCCGCCTGCCAAACTGAAGATCCTTCGACAGCAACCTCCCTCGGGATACGCACGCAGGAACATCCAACAAACACGAAGAACACTAGGGCACCCTCCCCGAACCGACCTCGATCTTGTACCTCGGTCCGACCGAAATGATCTGGGTGACTCGTCCAGTGGCATCCCGGTGCCGCTTGTTTGGATCACCTCGGGCGGTCAGCAATCGAAGTGGTAAGTCGAACATGTTCCTCTACGGGCGGATTTTGGAAGAAAAACAAAAAAACACCCCAAAATATACAAATATAGGGGATACAATACTCAACAAATCATCCGCAGAGTATGTGTTAAACTAGTTTTGCAGATTCCTCCTGCAGAGGGACGTGCCCGACTTAATCGGAGTGTTGCTGTGAGGCAGGCTCGATCTGCTGCCCCTGTGGGGGCTCCCCTCGTCGCCACGGGCCACGGCGGCCGCGGCATCCTCGCGCTCTGAGAGGCTGAAGGGGCCCTGGGACACACAACTAAATAGACACTAGTAACAAGACTCCCCATATTTCCCCATATTCTTAGGGTTTCCGTCTTCCCCCCCCCCCTTCCCATAGTTTCCAATCGTCTCCCATATTTTCCTGGGAGTCGACGATTAATTGTGTCCTTGTGTTTTGCCCCTCCTGAGAGACTCGCGACGAGAGGTACCGTGGGACCTAGGACAGAAGAGCATCATTCAAGAAAATGAAAGCCTCCGCCGGCCAAACCGAAGAATAGTTTGAGGGTACCCTCCCCCAGGATGCACAAGGACAGCCAACCAACTCGACAGATACTGGGAATTACCTTCCCCGAACCGACCTCGATCTTGCGCCACGGTCCGACCGTACCTCGCAGAGCTCACTGACAACGTGAGCGAAGAGGAGTTCGGGCGCAGGATGGAGCTGATCGGTCAGCGCGGTCAGAAGCGAACGTGTGACGACCTGAGACTGGCGCTAATGCTGCGAGCCGCGTGGACGCGGGTTACTGCGTGCTCGTGAGGGCGGACGCTAGAAGAGAACAGGCTTGCACGGTTTCTCCGGGGGCCGAAGGCGATCCGAGGAGGAGGTGGAGGAGGGGGAGGGGGAGGGGGAGATGGAGGAGGAGGAGGAGGAAGAGATGGAGGAAGAGATGGAAGAGGAGGAGGAGGAGGAAGAGGAGGAGGACGGGTCGCCTAAGCCCTTCGGAGAAACCCTCCAGACAGGCTCAGCGGGGAAGCGTCGACCTGGAATCGCCGGCAGATCGGCGATACGGCCCCCGCTGGCGGCTCCGCGCGCTCCTGTGCGGGGTGGGCTATCATGCCCCCATCGGCAATGAATGGGCGGCTGAACCCTTGAAACGGTTGGGGCTCGATGCTTCCCCCCCCCCCCTGAACCCGTCACCCCCTAACGTTGCCCTTGAGGGGAGCGCCTGGAAATCACTGGGGCGTGCACTTCCTGGCCGCCCTGGGGCCAAGCGCCCCCCACGGAGGGGAAAACTCCCTCGTCTGCCGAACCATTCGTTTGCACCCCGATCGGACCTCGAGGTAGAAATTCAGGCCCTGGGGGAGCCCGGTGGGGACCATCTGGGCAATCCCAGACGGCCATCGACAAGGAATCAGAGGTGCGCATAGGGTTAGGTCGTGCATGTTCCCCTACAGGGGGATTTTGGACGAAAAATAAAAAGTAGTCAAACATATTCCAAAAATGCTCAAAAATAGTCCAACAATCGTCCCCAGGGCATCTTGTGACTGGTTTTGAATATTCCTCCTGTAGAGGGACAGGCCCGACTTACGCATCGGGGGAATGCAAAGGGGGTGGGCATGCGGCCTGCTCGGAAGGTCTGCGGCCTGCTGAGAAGTCTTCCAGGTCTTCTCCCGCGTTGTCAGAAGGCCTGCCCGCGCTCACTTCCCTAAAGGGGCCCTAGGACACACAAATAGATACACACAAATGACAAGATTCCCAATAGTTTCATATCTTCTGGGTTTTCGTCTTCCCCCCCCACTTCCCACATGTTCCCATACTTTCCTGGGAGTCGACGATGAATTGTGTCGTGTGGTTTCCCCTCCTGATTCCCCTTCGGCGCGCCGCCGATGCAAAGCACCTGGGACCCTAGAATTAGGTCGGGCCTGTCCCCGCCCTACAGGGGGCATTTGAAAAAAAATAGTCAAACAAATATCCTAAAATACTCAAAATAGTTTTAAACAAAATCGTCCCCTGGGCATGTTTTACTATGTTTGAATGTTCCCAGTGTAGAGGGACATGCCCAACTTAACCCTAGCAACCTCCAGCACCTCTGAAGACTTCGACAAAAGTGCGCTCCAGGACGGCTCTTGGCACGACCGATATGTGAACGGAAAAGGTCAGGCCGATGCTGGCGGACGTGGTCCTGATCTGGCAGCGGCCGCTGCTGGGCCGGCAACCTCTGCCCCGAACTGACACAACGTCCGCGGCAACACCGACAGTGAATCCTGCACAGAATGGCCGAGAACCGCTGTTTCGCCAAATCCATGGATCGGGGGAGGTGCCCGCCCGAAAATGCAGCCAGTACCGCCTCGCTCGGCGGCGAAAATCCGCGATTTCCCAGGGAAACGGCACCCGTCGCTAATCCACGCCCCCTTGATCCATGTTTTCCATCGCCTGAGCCACCATTCTTGGTCCTCAGGGCCCCGTGACCGGAGACTCTGATCGGCCAAGACAGCGGCGCGCCCCAGGAGACTGCAGCCGCGGGTCGAAGCACCCTCCAGCTGGATCTGACGAACTCTGACTCGCGGTGCCCTGGCTTCGGGAGCGCTGGTCGGCGGCGGCGAGCGAGGGGGGAAAGACGAAGGGGCGTGCCTCCTCAGAGGGCTCGGAAGTCCCCAGGCCTTCCGAGGAATGCTCGAGGTTCCCGAGGGCCCAGAAAACCTCGAAGGTCGGAGAAGCCCCGCCGCCTTTTTTGAAGGCCTTCTCCTTCTCACTTCCCCCCTGGACGCGCCGCCCGAGTTCAGCTTTCGGGCCATGACTCGTGTCTCCGGCGGCCGCTCGGGACGATCTGGGCATCCCCGACACGCTCTCGGCGAGGCGCAGCCGCTGGAAGGCATCCCGAGCCTGGAAAGCTGCCGAGAACCGACGGTCCCCCCCGAACACCTCGAGCTTGGAACCTCGCACTTCCCCACCGAGCTGAGGTCCGGATCCTCAGCTCGGCGGGGATCCGGACCGCACCGCACCGCGGCGCCACCGAGTTGCGGCCACCCCCCGAGGCGCAGGGGTAGTCCAACAAGGCGCGAGCAAGTCGAGGGCACTCCCCCGGTCGGGCCTGCCTCTGCCTCACGGAGGCTCGACGACGGCGCCGTTCCCGACTGTCAAGAGAAGAGTTCCGCCGCCATCGCGAGGACGCCCGCCCTTTGGGCGACCCGGAAGGGGGTCCAGCTGAAAGGGGGCAACTGTGTTGCAAAATGTACTGCGCTGGAGAATCGCATTGCATTATGCAATACACTTGCGCCCCGCAATGTATTGCACGCCCCAAATGTATTTCGTGGGCGGCCAATAGGAGGGCGTCCAAGAAGGGAGGGCGCAAATCATGGCCGGCGGCATGTGCGCGGCCCAGAGGGGGGGCCAGGGACGTAATGGAATAAGTAGAGGCGCCATGAAATCTGAGGAAACATCATGGCCCCCGCCATGAGATCCACCCCCCAGTCATCACCCCCCTCTTGGCCGCCCCCGTGCATTGCAACCCCACAAATCTGTCGCTCCACCCCCTTGTTGCTGGACCCCCCTTTGGGGTCCACCCGACCCCTGCTCGCCGCCGCGCTGCGGTCCCGATCCTCCCGAGGCTCCGGCCCACGGCGTGCCCCAGCGGGCCCAGCCCACTCTCGAGGGCAGAGAAAATCCACCCCGATAACACCCACCCCGACACGGGAAGCCGCCTCGTCAACGCACCCCAGAAAAACGAATCGATAAGGGCAGACCTGTTTCGTAGACGCCCAAGGCTGTTTAGTGAACGCCGATTGCCCCGTCCGGGTGGTCTTTCCTCCCCTGACACTCCGCCCCCCTGGCGCGCACAATCGGGTCGGGCGAAAGGGGGGGATAGCAAAGGGGGGGTTTGAGAATCAGCTCACGTAGCTGATTTTCCCGGCGCCTCCCGGCGCCGGAGGCGGCTATGTATCGAGGAATGGGCCCCTCGGTGAGGCCGAAACCAGCTGCATGCAGCAAATTTCGTAACCCCCCCTTTCCCAATCCCCCCCTTCCGCCCAGCCCGACCCCTGGCGCGCACAAGCGCGACCGACGCTCGACGGGGCCGCCCGCGGAGGTGGCTCGGCGAGAGAGGCGGCGCCCGGCCGGGCGCGGGGCGCCGCCCCTCGAGCCGCCGGAGGCGCGCGGGCCCTGCTGAGAGGCGGCGGCCCTCCTCCTCGGATGCCTCGGTTTCGGGGCTGGCGGCAAAGGGCCAGCCATGTTATATCTGTATATATATATATATACACACAAACACACCTATACACACCTGCTCATACACACGAGCGTATGAACCACGCGCGCGCTACGCGCGCGCTTGGTTTCTAGTCACGGCATGATGGCTCCAAAGGATGCCACGGCAAGCAGTGCCATCGACAGCGGATCCCGTTCCATGGGGTCCTGACGGCAGACCCTCCTGGAGCCTCAGAAATCTTGTACTATGCTACCTCCTTCCTGGCGTAACTCCGTCGCAGTGCTTCGTTGCAAGAACTGCCTCGACTGGACCAGGCTGAACAGAACGGCCGCGAACCAGCGTCCCCTCCAAGACGAATCGAACCGAACCGGAATGGTCGCGGTAAAAACCCGGACCGAACCGAACCAAGATCGCTCGTGGACCGGATGGGGCCGAATCAGACCGATACAAACCGAACCGGAGCGGCAAATCCACCCCAGGGAGTGCCCAGGGAGTGGGGAACGAAACCCGAGGCCCAACAGAGAACTGCCCGAACTCCCCCCCTGCTCGTCATCGTTGTCGGCCTCCTCCTCGCCCTTTGTCTTCGTGCTCGCCCTCGTCCTCGTTCGCCTTCGTCTCCTCCCTGGCCTCGTCCTCCTTCTGCTCCTTCTCCTCCTCCTCCTCCTCCTCCTCCTCCTTGTCCTCCTCCTTGTCGTCCGCCCTTGATGGATTCTGGACCCTGGGCTTTGGACCCCTGGCTCCAGGGACCCGCATTGACGCCTGCAGACCCATCTTCGGCCCCTGGAATCCTCCACGATCCCTGGACCCCTCCTCGGCCCCGCGAGTGCAGCCCCAGGACCCCACGTCCAGGAGGAGGAAAAGCAGGAGGGGGAGGAGCAGGAGGGGGAGGAGGAGTAGGAGGAGGAGGAGGAGGAGGAGGGGCAGGGGAGGAGGAGCAGCATCCAAGGAGGAGGTGCAGGAGCAGGAGCAGGAGGAAGAGCAAGAGCAGGAGGGGGAGAAGGAGGAGCAGGGGTGATGGGGGAGGGCAGGGGGAAAGGAGGAGCAGGAGGATGAATAGCAGGAGGACGCGCAGGAGGTGCAGCAGCAGCACCACCACCACCAGCAGCAGCAGGAGGTGCAGGAGGATCAGGGGAACGAGGGGGAGGAACAGGATGAGGACGAGGAGGAGAACGAGGAGGAACAGGACGACGACGCAGAGGAGGAGGCACCCCCACCCCCATCCCTTCCCCCTCCTGCGCCTCCTCCTCCTCCTCCTCCTCCTCCTCCTCCCCCCCTCCTCCTCCTCCTCCTCCTCCTCCTCCTCCTCCTCCTCCTCCTCCCCCTCCCTCCCTCCCTCCCTCACCTCCCTCCCTCCCTCCCTCCCCCCTCCCTCCCTCCCACTCCTCCTCCTCCTCCTCCTCCTCCTCCTCCTCCCTCCTCCTCACTCCTCCTCCTCCTCCTCCTCATCCTCCTCCTCCTCCTCCTCCTCCTCCTCCTCCTCCTCCTCCTCCTCCTCCTCCGCCTTCTCCTCCTCCTCCGCCTCCTCCTCCTCCTCCTCAACCTCCTCCTCCACTTCCTCCTCCTCCTCCTCCTCCTCCTCCCTCCTCCTCCTCCTCCTCCTCCGCCTCCTCCTCCCGTCCTCGTCCTCGGCCACGCCCGCCCTACACCCAGCCCAGGCCCACGCCGCGCCCGCGCCCACGCCCACGCCCACGCTCACACGCACGCCCAACACCACACCACCCACATACCCTCTCCCACGCCCACACCCACGCCCACGCCCACGCCACACCCACGTCCACGCCCGCGCCAACACGCCACGCCCGCCATGCCCACGCCCACTGCGCACACGGCCCACGCCCACGCACGCCCACTGCACGCGCACGCCCGCACCCACGCCCCCGCCCACGCCCACGCCCACGCCCACGCTCACACGCACGCTCACGACGCACGCCCACGCCATACCCGCGCCCACGCCCACACCACGCCCACGCCCACGCCCACGCCAACGCCAACGCCCACACCCGCGCCCATGCCCACGCCCACTCCCACGCCCACGTCCGCGTCCCCGCCCACGCCCACTCCCGCGCCCACGCCCAGGCCCACGCCGGCGCCAGCGCAGGCCTGGAGGGGGGAGGCCGATTCCAGAACCTCCCCCCACCCTCCAAGCACTCACAGAACGCGCTCTTTCCTAAATAAGGAACCTCCTACGCCTCCCCCTCCTCCTCCGTCCTCCTCCTCCCTCTCCTTCTTCCCGTCCCCTCCCCCGCCCTCCTCCTCCTCCTCCTCCTCCTCCCTCTCCTCCTCCTCCTCCTTATCTTTATTAGTCTCCTTATTAGAATTAATCGTGTGATTATTAGTATCATTATTATTATGAGTATTATTAATACTATCATTGTTATTATTATTAGCATTAGTATTATTATTACTATTATTATTATTATTAGTAGTATTAGTATTAGTGTTACTAGTATTATTAGTATTATTATTATTATGATTACTATTATTACTATTACTATTATTATTATTACTATTATTATTATTATTATTATTGGTATTATTATTGGTATTATTATTACTATTATTATTAGTAGTAGTATTATTAATATTATTATTAGTAGTAGTATTATTATTAGTAGTAGTAGCATTATTAGTATTACTACTATGATTAGTAGTACTAATGTTATTGCTGGTATCATTAATAGTATGGTTCGCCTTATTCTTATTCGTACTACCAGTCATAGTAGTTTTTATTATTATTATTACTACTAGTAATAGTAGGGTTACTAGTAGTAGTAGTAGTAGTAGTAGCAGCAGCAGCAGCAGCAGCAGCAGCAGTAGCAGTAGTAGTAGTAGTAGTAGTAGTAGTAGAAGTAGTAGTAGTAGTAGTAGTAGTAGTAGTCGTAGTCGTAGTAGTAGTAGTAGTAGTAGTAGTAGTAGTAGTAGTCGTTGGATTCGTCCTATTCATCCGCGAATTATTAGTACGAGTATCATGATTATTAATATGAGGTTGATTGTTAGTAGTATCACTCGCAGTATTATTCGTAGCGTTAGTATGATGAGTCGTATGACCACTCTGGTTAATAGTATTAATAGTGTTCGTATTACTCTTATTCGTGTTTCTCTTACTAGTAATATTTATAGTAGTAGTAGTTGTTGTTGTTGTTGATGATGATGATGCTGTTGTAGTAGTAGTGGTAGTAGTAATACTAATACTACTACTACTACTACTACTACTACTACTCCTCCTCCTCCTCCTCCTCCTCCTCCTCCTCCTCCTCCTCCTCCTCCGCCTGCTCCTCCTCCTCCTCCTCCTCCTCCTCCTCCTCCTCCTCCTCCCCCTCCCCCTCCTCGCCCCCTCATCTCCACGGGCGCGGCGCTGGGCAGGGCGGAGCGGAGCGGCCCGTCGTGCTGCGGCATGGGCATCACCTGGTGGGCTTCGGGCACCGCCCCCGGCCCTCCCCCCGGGGAGCAGCAGCAAACGCCTTCGGTTCTTCCACATAGGCCGCGGCATGACTTTGATTTCCAGCATTTTATTGATATACGTGCAAGAGTGAACGGCAGCATCATTAAGACACTGCATGTTGTGCCTCACTCAGAGCACATACATAACAATTTTGACTCGATCCTAGACCTGATATTTCAAGGACAGGTGGCTGCAGTAGTATGTGAAGATACATGTATAGATCGCACACTGCAGCACCCATGGGGACTCCCGTGGCTAACAGGATCCTCTGCCCGCAAGAGAGACACAGCGAATTCGGGCCTCAGGACTTCCATGATCTTAGCGTGTGCGTGTGCGTGCCAAGGTGTGTGTTTCGCCCTACAGTATACCGAATGTCCTGAAGGCCAAATTTCCATTGACACCTTGCCTGAGCTTGAGCACCTGAACCGATACCAAGGACAGGGAGAATTCAGGGATTTCGCGGTCCATAGGTTTCCACACTATCATTGTGATCTACCTGCTAGGGTTCTTGCCATTAACCTTGAACCAATGCACAATAGAGTGTCTCGTGTGTATAGTGCACGCTCCTTGCAAGAGCAAATTGCTGCCTCTGTTTTCGCATGTTTGCAAAGCAGAGGCATTCCCCTCAATGACGGCTCTGAGGTTGATGGCACGTCTTTTCTGTGTCCTTTCCTTGTTCCCCTGGACCCCTACCGTGGGGCTCTGGAGTGCCAAAACCTGTAACCGTCGAGGGTAAATAACCTCTATGCATGAATTTAAGCACGAAGACACAGAGACCTTGGTCGTCCCTATGAGCGTGGGCAGCAGGAGGAGGAGGAGGAGGAGGGCGGGGGGGAGGACAGGGAGAAGGAGGGGGAGGAGGAGGGGGAGGGTGGGGGAGGCGGAGGAGGTTCCCCAATCAGTGCTTGCATCGAAGAGGTCCTAGCGGAAGCTGAAAGATTTGGCGAAAATGTTCCGCCGATTTTGGTGGCAGGCTGGGTTCCCGGGTTCCCGGTTTCCGGGTTTCCAGGTTCCCGGTAATTGGTTCCACACCGATTTCGGTGCGTTCTGGGTTCCCGGGCTCCCGGGTTCCTGGTCGATCTCCTCTGCGAAAACCATCCACTGATTAAGGTTTTTCTCTGGTTAATACATGCCCACGGCTCCCTGGCCAGGCCCATCCTGAGCCCCACAGCGGTGCATACGCCACGCCCTCCTAGCTCGGCCAGAAGAGCGTATACACAGCTCCTGGGTTCAGGATATGCCTGGCCAGGGAACAATAAACATGGATAGATTTCGTCGTCCACCCTTCGTGGGGAAACAATTCCATGCGCAGGGGCTCCAATACTCCCCTACAGTCGACCCGTATCACAAGGATGCGCGGTTAGGATGCAAGGGCCTTGGAGGGCCACGTTCACGTTTCTCGAACGAGGTTGGCCAGTGAAAGTCGCTAAGGATGGGCCGAAGGGGCGAGGATGCAAGGGTACCCTTGGGAAGGTTGCCCATCCTTCCTATGCGGGTTGACTGTGCCCAGATCTCCCGCCCGGAAATCCTTGGCCAACACCTCTTGCGAGGCACTTCACCATCTCCAGCTCCGGCGGCATACGGCCGTCGAGCATCGTTGATCGGAGCTGAGCAGGCACGCTTACGACGACGCTTACGCCCTCTTCCCTCCCTCCTGCTCGCCCCCTCCTGCACGCGAGCGTTGCTGATCACCCTCGCGCGCCACTTGCACAAAGGCTGCCAGTGGTCGAGCTCCGAGGCACGGTAGGCACTCCCAGACATGTGTATGTAGTTTTTCTTTTGCCGATGCGCCGTCCAGGCGCGGCTCTTGAGCGAGAGTGAGTGAATGAGTGGTACTGTCCGCAAGACCCCCGAAAGATCGGCACGTCCCCGAGGCCCCCCTCTCCTCGACTTCTGGGACCAATCTGGACTCGTCCCAACCTCTACAAGGTCAAAAATGACGAGGAAAGAAGAACCTCTGGATCCCCGAACCGACGAATGGACGCAGACGACGACGAGTAGACAAACAAATGGATGAATGGACGACGACGACGATGACGACGACGAATGGACGACGACGAAAACGAATGGGCGACGACGCCGACGACGCGCACGATGAGGACGACGACGACGAGGACGACGACGACGACGACGACGACGAGGACGACGAGGACGACGACGACGAAGACGATGACCGGCCCGCGGCAGGGCGCCACCCGCGCGCGGCCTGGCCGCCCTCGAGAGGGAGCGCCGGTCTGTGTCGGAAGACCAGCTTTCGGCGGCGAGCAAGATTGAACGGGAGCCGAAGGTGATGCTGTTCCCATCGTACTTCAGGACCACATCCCAGAAATAATTTCGAGCACACAGACAAGTGTCGAAACAGTGTCGAACGAGTTTCGCCTCCCAGGGCCCGACACGTGAAAACACTCAAGTTTCGGTACTTTGGGGTGCTCGAAATTCTTCCTGGTGATCACGGCTACAGTAAGTTGGAACATCATAAGCCGAGGGGCCTCTAAGGCGCCGAGGCGAGAGCGCCACTCCTGAGCAAGAAGTATCAAGCAGGAGCGCTGGTTTTGTTGGAGGGCCAGTCTTCGGCGGCGAGCAAGAGCACCAGACCAGAGCGAAGAGCGATGGAGCATCGAGTGGGAGCACTGTTGCTGCCGAAACGCCCGTGCGGGAGCCTCGCTTTCAGAAGAACTGCAGCCAGCGCCAAGGCGAGAGCAGGGCAGATTTGGGGGGTCCGACAATGATCTTTGTTTGATTTTTGTTCGGACTACCTACCAGACCACCTCAACCCAACCCGAAGACCCGAAATTCGGGTTCATGTGTTTTTCAATTCTCCGACGCCCCCCCCCCACCGGGAATGGAGGGCCAATCAGAGCCTTCGGGCTGGGTTGGGGTGGTTTGATGGGCGGCGACGAGCCCTCGGAGAACAATCGCAAGGCTCCCACGGTGCCGCCAAGAGCCCGCTGCTGCTTGCTGAAAGCGCTGGCCTGGGCGGAACCGTCCTGCCTCCCTAGACACAGAGCCACTAGCAAGAGGCACTGCCTGTGATATCTGCTGCCCCGGCGAGCGGCCGAGGGGGAGGAGGAAAATGGCACGCGAATCGGAGAGTGACGAGATGACCCCGGAGATCGGCAGTGGCCTCGGCAACGATCTCCGCTTGCAATAGAATTTCAGGCATCTCGTTCAGCATGTGTCGTTCCACAAGCGAAGTATGACAAAGCCACGCGTGGGACAGCATCCGCCCTGGACAGATCGGGGATCTCTGAGATCAGGCTGCTTCAGAAATGCACCGGGCGCCGCAACCGTTTCAGAGCGCTGTGGATTGGCGGCGCGCACAAGGGGGTACGGGGAGGGGGGAAGGCTTCTTAGAAGGAGGCGGCTTCTTAGAAGGCGCCGGCCTTACATCTACAGAGAAGGCCCTCGCCTTCTAAGAAGCAGGGGTGCTTCTGAGAAGCCTGCCCCCCTCCCCCTACCCCCCTCTGCGCGTGGCTGGGTGGAACGCTCTGAAGGCGTCCTGAAGGCGTCCTGGAACGTTCTGGAGCTGGTTCTCCCTGATTCTGGACCCGCCCGGCAGGCCAAAACCCTCGGCTCTCCCGCCCAAGGCTCAGGCGAGAACCGCTGCCGCAGTCTGGGGGCCGACAGCGCAATTTGAGCCTCGAGGCTTCCTGTGATGGCCAGAGTGGCTCATAGAACCATAATATAATCGGCATGATGCGAGTGTCAGGGAGGGACACTTCGCATGCAAAAAAGGAGAACTGGACAGGGATAGCTCGGCTATCGCTTTTCTACAGCACATACTTGACCAACATACCAGACGCTTACACACAGAAGTGGAGGGCAGAGGAGAGAAGAGAGGGAGGAAAGAGGAGGATAGGCGGAGGAGTGGGGGAGGAGAAGGTGGAGAGAGGAGGGAGAAGAGCAGCAAGAGCAGGAGGAGGGGGAGGCGGGAAATGCGGAAAGATGACGATGAGGAGGAGGACGAGGAAAAGGGGGAGGAGGAAAAGGAGAAGGCCCTCTTGTATCCTCTTCCTTCTCCCCCCCCTCCTCCCCCCTTTCAGCCCCCCATACACCTTTCCTCCTCCTCCGCCTCCTCCTCCTCCTGCTGAGGAGGGGGAGGGGGGAGAACACCCCCTGCCTCCCCACAGGGGCCCTGGCACCGCGCCTGCACGCCCTGCTCCTGGCAGGCGCGCAGAAGGCTCTGCGAGTCCTTGTCCTGGCGGAGGAGCAAGAGGAGCAATTGGCAGCAGCAACAATCGGCGGCGAGCGAGGGGGGGAACTGAGAAGGATCAGGCCTTTTCAATCGGCGGCGGGACTTCACATAAGGCCTCTGGCATTCCGGGAAGTCGTGTGCGTCTTCGGGGAAGGCTCAGCAAACTTCTGAAAACGCCGGGGGACTTCCGGGCCTTCTGAGAAGGCCCGCTCCTTCTCACTTCCCACCCCCTCGCTTGCCGCCAGATCACGCAGCGTCCCCTCCTTTCGGGCGCGAATTAATGAAACGGCGATCAACGGGGGGTAGAAAAAAGATTCCCGTTTCGTGCCCCAAGAGCCCCCTTCTGGATGCTGAAGGGCCCCTTCAGGGGCCCCGAAGGGCCGCTTTTCGGCAGCCCCAGCTGCCACCACCCCCCCGTCTATCGCCCCCCCCATTACCCGTCGGTCGGAAGAACCCGGTGGAAACATGGGAGTAAGTAGGAATGCGGATAAAGTAGATCGGGCCCAGGCTCGCCCAAAGAAGAATTTGATGTTGATTTATCCGCGGGTTACCGTCAGGACAACAACTCCTGCGCGTGGCCGACGCGCGACGGCAGGCCCGAAGGGGACCGAAAGAAGGCGAGGGACAGGGAACCAGAGAACAAAAGACAGCAAACACGGATGCACTCCTGAAGTAGGAAGGCACTTGAAGTAGATTAGGAAATTGGGGATCCGTAAATACCTACTTGCAACGACGGACCTGCACGCGGCCTCAAGAGCTCGCAGGCCGCAAGTCCCTCCGGGAGGGCTCCTCCGCACTGCGAGGGGCGCCCCCGAGAGAGCGAGAGGAGGGCACTTAGAGCATGTCGTGCGGCTCCGTCGGAGACGTTGCCGGCAACTTGTCTCCACCTCTGACGGCTGAAACATTGCTCATGCTCATCTGCGGTCCAGCGCTGCCACTGGTTCTCACTCTCATTCCACACGTGTTTACCTCCATCATTTGTACCACAGTGAGTTGGTGTTGCATTCGCTCCTGGTGTCGGCGTAGTAAGTGTGCTGGGTCGTGCGGCCGCTGAGTGCACGACTTTCTGACCACGGCCAATCATGGTCTTGATACGTCCAGGGTCAAGGCCTGCCGCTGCCTTGGCACGCTGTGTGATGCCGCAGCCTGTCTTGTTCCTGTAGGAGTCTGCCCGCGGTTCCTGCTACGTTGCGGCGCCTCGGCGGCGGCTCTGGTAGATCATCGCGCCGCGGAAGCAGCCCACGCGCGCCACCGCGGAGAGAGCTGTCATCAGGGGCCGCGGCCAGGCCATCGCGCGGCGGCGGCGCGGGATGATATGGAGAAGCAGTCGAAGCTCCGACTGAGTCGGCGGTCAGATTACGCTCATCATCAACATCCATGGTTACCCGAGGGCTCGCTTCAGGGGCACTGCCGGCTGAGCCAGTAGCATCCCCGTCTCTATTAGTTGCGGCACCTGTTGCAGCAGTTGGCAACGGTTCAATTAATACAGGCTGTGGCTGTATTGCGCCTGTGGCCGCGACACCTTGCATCGGATCATCTGTGGATGTACCAATATCAACTGAGCCGATATCGTGAAATCCCTTCCTCGCGAATGTGCGTAGGACTCCAACGGCCACTGTAGCGTTGCGCTGGCTATGCTTGGCAATCAATCGGCCCCGAAACTCGGCATGGTGATCCTGCGCTGACTCCTTCCATTCGCCTTGGCCGATACTATCGCAAAATTTAGCTTGTACTGGCCAGGGATCCACGCTTATCTTTGACTTCAGGTTGAACCCCAAGTCCGTGATACAGGCCTCCAATAGATCAGAGCTTTCGACCGCCTCCCTTACAGTCTTGTCAAGATCGGAAACATATGACCATAACTGTTGCGAGCAATGCGGAGACACTGCTCCTGTCAGATCCTGTGCGTCTATCCATATGTCCACTTCTGTCGGGAATATGATGTATCGATTGTAGACAAGGAACTCCTTTATGCATTCCCGAATTGTCATGGTGCGGGAAGGCTTGTATTCAACCCAGGCAACATTGATATCCTTATCCCAGAGGTCATCAATGGCCAGACCGACTCGCGCACCAAGAATAGTTTCTTCCTAGCCAGCATCGACCCATAAACTATTGCTGCGTAAAATGAAATGCAGCCTTCCTCACTTCACACTCGGAGGTCTTCACTGAGTATTGTCTAACCGATCCCCATCCCCAGCGGCGGGGCCTGGGTCCCACTGGCCGCATTACCCCCCTAGATGGGGATGTAGGTCGTTCTCTTCGGGTTTCGAGGGGTGTATCCCCAACTGGGGTGGTAATTTGGTGGGGGTCTCGAAGGGGATGGGGATGGGGATGGGGATCGTTTAAACGATACGGATTCACAAGGATTGCCGCATAGGGATCCTTGGACAAGTCCACTCCCTCCTTGACGACCGTTCTCGCAAAAGGGCGTCTCGCCTCGTCTCCCAAGGGCCTGCCGTTGATGGGGGTTAGGCGACAGGTCCACCCATCTGAGAGGCAGAGGCTCCTCCTCCCCCTCCTCCGCCTCCTCTTCCTCCCTCTTCTTCTTCTGGTTAGTCTGATTATTGTTCTTATTAATAGTATTAGTATCAGCATTGTGCTCTTATATTAGAAAAGTTATTATTATTCCTAATAATATGTATTATCTTCTCCGTAGTCGTAGTATAGTATTGTTGGTATTGTTATGATGCATGCTCGTCTTATTATTAATAGTAGTGGTGTTCGTATTAGTACGGTAAATGCGGTTGTTCGTATTCGGCGTCGTATGATTATTCTTAGTAGTCTGCTTCGTATTCGCCATAGTGATATTATCCCTCCTCCCCCTGCTCCTCCTCCTCCCGCTCCCTCTTCTCCTCCCTTTCCTCCTCCTCATCCTCCTCCTCCTCCTCCTCCTCCTCCTCCTCCTCTTCCTCCCCCTCC